TGAACGGATCAATAAACTTCATCCAATCGAAGAACACGAAAAGCATCACGTCTTCTGCAAGGCCATTCATTTTTCGCTGGTTTTAATGTTGTCGAGCTCATAATCCCATTGCGTTCATAGGTGGCCAGTTTTCCCATTGTAGATGAGGTGATTCGTAAATGGAAATCGCCACCATATTCGTTCGAAGTTTAGGCAACTGAGCACTTTTTCAACCGAACACTATGTTCAGGACTTTTCTTTAGTCACCGAAATCAGATCTGCTCTTACAACTATTCTTGAGGAATGATGGCCACATGGGGCACTGATGTGCTCGCAGTTAACTCGCTAAAATTGGCCAGGAAAGCCAAGGAGCTTGTTTGCTGAGGACAGGACACAGTATGTTCTCATTTGTCACCTAATCACTTGAATAAACTTTTTACCTATTCGTCGTGTAAGACGCACTCCTGCTTATGGTCAAGCACAATCATGAATGAGATTATTAAGAGCGCATAAGAGTTATAAGCTGATCTGGTCCAGTAGAGGCAGCAATCTCAATACATGAATCGACCTGAATCTTAAGATATCATAACGTCTTAAAGGTATTTTTTAAGGCTGTTCAGCTTACACAATGTTGTTACGAAACTTTTATTCGGCAAAGGTCTGGACATCTTCGTCTTCGACTTTGGTCCACGTAACCCTATCTGCCAAGCCGTGACCAACAACTACGCGGCTTTCCTCCATTTCGCTCTTAATCAATCATATTACAGAGATCCATAAAGATATATAGTATTTTTCTGAAAGAATAATGAGTGGAGGTCCACATATTTATTTACATGTTTTTATGAACTGGTCTTGTTGAGCTTGTGCGAGGTTGGAATAAGTTTTCCTTGTTGTTGGTGCTATTGTTGTTGCTGTTATTGTTGTTGTTGTTGTCGCCGTCGTCGTCGTAGCTGTTGTTGTTGTTGTTGTTGCTGTTGTGGTTAGTCGCTGACGTATATTTCGGCGATCTCACCTTCTCCAGAGCCGTACTGTTACGAGTGGGACTTAATAGCACGGTTCTGAGGAACAAGAAATCGTCGAATTATCAGCAATCGACCAACAACAACAACAGCAACAGCTTGAACTACAACTACAACTACAACTACAATGACAACTTATATCAACCTCGCATCAGCTCAGCTGAACAAGATCAGTTCATAAAAGGATGTAAATAACTATTTTGATTATTTATGCTATTTATAGAAAGTCACTCTTTTAAGCTCTAATGGTCTACATTTCAGTGGATTCAGCGAAACGACCAATGACATTGTTGCGAAGGGTTGAATCCATGGTTAAGGAGCGACAATTCGATAGCACTGCTGCTCTTGAAACCATAGAGAAGTGAGTGAAGAGGTAAATTTTTAAGAGAAGCGAAAGCAAGAGAAACGTGTGCTATGAATGCGTCGATGTTGATTATCAGTCAAGAATTATTGCTCTCAGGAAATCGTAGACCTAAGATGTCTAAGACTTTTCCCGTGACATTCATTAACACTAGATCCTTACAATCTCTTGGCAGTATTGTATATATTATTGTATATTGTAGCAGTATGGACTAAAGTTGATTAACCGTTCTAAACACAGGTTTTGAATGGAGATTAGTTACTGAGTAAAAATAAGCCACTAGAGTTTGACGATTGATTTCAAGAAAAAACCATCTATTCCTTTTCACCAACCTTTTTTTCTGTTTTTTTTTCTGATCACCGATATGCTCATTTGTTGGGATTTAAAACTATTCATTGGGAAATATAACTTTAAAGATGCTGAGATATTTGTAAAACTCCGGACCGCAGGTGTATGCGGTAGGGAACGAACGCGTTATTGTCCTTTCCGGGGAGTAGCGCGTTCACCACCACACCACGCGGGTCCTTCGTTTCGCCCGATTTGGGCCCCCCAGATTAATCCCGTTGACGGGTGATTGCTGATGGCAAAAGATCGATAGAACTAGCTAAGAGACAGGCGAAACGAAGGCTCTTTGTGGTGTGGTGGTGAGCGCGCTACTCCCCGGAAAGGACAATAGCGCGTTCGTTCCCCTTCGCAAGCACTGTGGTTAGGAGTTTTGCAAATATCTCAGCATCATTGAAATTATATTTCACAATGTATACTTTGACGTTAAAAAGAGTAGGCAATAAATAATAAGTTAAAACTATTCATTGGCTTAACTGCTATTTGTTAGTATTCACGAGCATACTTTTGTAAGCCGCCTTCATTCTTCTACGGTGTGAATAAACAATGTCTTTTTATACTTATTATATTGAATTACGTAACCAATATTTTGTTATGTTTATTGAGGATATTGATTTATTGATTATGCCGACTATATATGCATAAATAGACAAGCTAACACTAGATTGTTATAAAAGTTATTCGGGCTGACGTCCTGACACAGAGCTCCAATCTAATGCATTCTTTTCCATGCGGGAGTTAAGGGCGATGTCGCGAAGACGAACGGCTGTAGACAACCAGCTTCGACGATTCCCGCTCTAAAGGCAGCGATGGAGGCGAAAAGTTAACCGCAAGAAGTAGATTTTACAACAAAGTTGTTTAACCTTACGAACACAACGATATATTCGTAGGCATCATTAACGCTGAATACAGACAGTAAACAAGAGAGAAAAAGAAACGTGAGCTTAAGAAGAAAGCAAAAGAGCTGAAAATAGGGGTAGGAAAATTTAGTAAAGGTCATAGGGTAAAGTAACAGAACCACTATCTAAGACTTTTGGCTTCGACATGGCGATAGGAAGTTTCCTTTTCCTATGACCAGCTGCGATTTTCTTGAGGTGTGGAAAATCTTCATTCATGTTTTGTAATCTCGTTGAACAAATAGAAAAGGGCTTTTTCTTTCTTAGCTCTGAGTTCTTTAGAAATGTTTTTAGCACTGGGTTTTTTGCAATAAGATTTTATATTAACTTTCCATAAGCTCATGAATAGAACAAAATGTAGCTTCAGGTAGATTTTTCTGTATGATCACTCTGTACAAAGTGACAAAGACTACTTTCTTTTACTAGGAATTCCTATAGTTCATTCCTTTCTCCGACTTATCCTTTTCTCTTTTCTACGGTTCCATTTTCCATTGAGTGTTTTCTTGAACTGGAACTAAATGTGGTGGTATCGATTTCAAAAGCGTTCTTATTTCTGCTGAGCGTGCTGACGTCCATGAAGCACTCATATTCCTTTCTTCATCTTCAAATTTCCTTTCCATGCTCGTCTTGTACTCAATTACTCATCTGTTCTTATTGATGGTTATATAGCATACTATTTCTGTGCATGAGTCTTAAGAATTGTCCAGGATATGGAGACGGAAGGATGCTCAGACTATCACTCGGTTGCTTGGCAACAAAGTGTGATGCCAAAAAGATGACGTTGGATTCGCCTATCGTCATGCGTTTTCGCTGTGGAATATCAAACTAGGTTTCCCTTTCAGTTTAATGTTGGCATTCGATATTCACCACCTTAGTGTCAGAAATCAACCTCATTTACTAAACAAAGACCGTATTCGAATTGTTCCATTTTCCTCTATCAATAAAGCATACCGGAATATAATCTTCAAAAAAAGCCACTAACTGGAACCCGTAGAAGAAGAAAAAGAAATGTGTCTTTGTATCCTAGCAGCTGCTGTGTGTTTTTTTTTCGTTTAAGCTGACACCGGGAAGATTTCGTTGTGCAGATGAACATGCCGAGCAGAACTGGTTCTAACTAATCCTTAATTTTCTAAAAATTTCTTATCTTTCGGCGAACATTGAGTACTTCTGCGAGTTTTGTTCCTCCATGCAACTTTTAGAGAAGATTCTCCTGCCTAGATTTTGTTTACCTATTTTTCAATTCCTGCAATGATTTGATAGGTATGGAAATCGTCTGTTGATAAATGAAAATTGAGAATATATATATATGCGCGTGTGGTGTGTGTTTGTGTGTATGCATGTGTGTATGTATGTGTACGTGTGTATGTGTGTATGTGTGTATGTATGTGCGTGTGTGTGTTGAGTTGGTTACAGCGAAGGTCCCGAGGTGCTGTCACGATCGGCAGCTTCATCACCGATGAACGAAAGAAACACACTTCTGCTAATGCATTCGAGAGGAAGGTGGGCATTTCGTGACTGACTGCCACCTTAACTCTACATGATGTTTACATCTCGGGATGCCCCGTTCCTATTCTCGTTAAGGTTTTACTAGAACTTTCCGATGCTTCCTAACATGTTTCATCTTACGCGATAATCAGTCACTCTAGTCCCATTTGTTTTATTCGTTTTATAAACTTGAAAGCCTTTGATTAAAATTTCGATAGCAGCTAGGCTCTCGGAAAATGCCTATAATTAACCATGTGAAGTGAATGCTAATAGAAAGTTGTACCTATTCCTAATTACAAATTAGGAATTTTATCATAATTTTCATTGCTACTTTTAAGCAAAAGCACGTATAAGTGTATATATGTATAAATATATATATATATATATATATATCACCCATAATCCGTTTTATCCTCGAGCAATTCGCGGCAAGCAACACTAAGGGCTCCAACGTTGCTATCGCACTCCAGAGCTTCTCATTGGCCACCAATCGTTCGATTAACGCAAATAGCACCACGTTTTTAACATTGAACCCTATAGTAGTCGTTCGTTTTTGAAGTTGATGTTGACTCTGGCGGCTCACAGGACTATATGGTAGGATAAGTTACTCTTAACTGGGTTTCTGGACAGTGGATATATATATATATATATATATATATATATATATATACAAACACACATATATGCATATGTATATGGCTTTCTTCACGATTGAGCTGACATGAGACTGGTATAAAAACTATATATATATATATTTATTTATTTATTTAAGATAGAGATAAGACTATATACATATATGTTTGCACATATTAGTCTTAAAGCGGAATTACGAGCTAGAATCGTTTCATGCGTAATCCTCCTATACGGTGTTCAAGGTTTCTATTGATCGACGAGCGAGTAAAATTCAATTCTGACCAGATGATGCTCATCGGTGACACATTCGGCTTTTATCAATTAGTGCTTAGAAAGCACTCATGCAGGTATTGCAAGAATGACGAAGAACGAAAAGAGAGATAGAAATAGAAAGAGGCTGTCACAGGAGAGAGTCAACTGAGTGACTGAATTCACATTTTTCCATTTATTGGTTCCTGGTTCTGTTTTAGACTTCGCTATATCCTTCATCAATTGAACAGTGGACAGTTACCACTAGAAGATCTGAAACGGAATATTGAATATGCGGCACTGGTGCTTGAGACGGCGTATATGGATGAAACTCGGTGACGATTTTTGCTCTGAATTTCTTATAGTTGCAGTCATCACCATGGATCCGATTAGGTCTGTTCGGATCGTTCTTGGTCAGATGGAGTGACCGCATTCGCTTTTAAACCTTATGCATTCGAATTCTGGCATTCGTTTGAGCTAAATATCTAACATTTTCGACCTCCCAACTTTTCAAACACACTGATTTCAAATAACAAAAAGTTGGGCAGCCAAACATTTTTTGTTTTTTGTCTTTTTGAATACGCTAATTCCAAATAACTAAAACTTGAGAAAGCCAACATTTTCTACGTCTCTACTTTTCAAACGTAATGACTTTTGGTTCAAAAGTAAGACTCTGCTACAAGAACTGGGACGCGTCACATACAGTGAGCAGTACCTACGTTAACGTTCTTTCAGTTTCTTTCTGCATTCTCATTTTCTTGTTTTTTAACTGAACACTTTGCCACAGTGGAAAGCGCTTGTCATCTGTAAAACAACCTTGTGAAAAAAGGCATTATTAGTAATGAAACTAGAGCAACTCCAATCGATTGATTCCTAGGAATTCGTTTTCTCTGCAATACTAAAGATATATTCATATTTCGTGTTGTTTGTAGGCGGATATGCGATGAGGACGATGATTTGGCCGAAGTTACCCCGGAAACCGTCCCAGACGAGGCAAGCAGCTTAGGTCTTCATCATTTTCGAACTAATCGTGAACAACAATGATAGCAGAATTTCATGATTACTAAGATTATCAATATGCCAGCGTTTTTATAAAATAGATGAATTTCTAATAAAAATTTAGGTTCGAGAATGGTTAGCGGCAACTTTCACTCGACAGACAGCCGGTAAGAAGCGCGAAAAGCCGAAATTTAAATCGGTGGCAAATGCGATTCGTACTGGAATCTTCTTCGACAAGTGAGCGCCAGTTGATTTTCTATCTCATTAAATTTAGACATCTCACTTCTTAGGTAAATTAGAAAGAAAAGTGTCGAATGCTTCTGCAAGAGGCAATGTCACCTCGAGCTTCAATACGATATGATAAAATTGTTATGTAGTTGTTTTATCAGCAGCCATTTTTTGAATAGCCTCCATAGTTTTCGTCTCTCTCACTCATTTTACAGTTTGCGTCTGGTACCATTAACCATCAAGAAAGTTGACTATAACCAATCCGGTATCCCGATTGTATAGATTCTAATCACTCGATAACCATATTAAAGTGATAAATAGAATTTCGATAATGAAACCACATCCGTTTGCATAGATTACAAATTGTCTACTTTATTAAAAAGGATGCCGGTGAGGCATGGGAAATGCAACAGGTCATTCCTTGCGTAGAGCTGCGAACCAGAGTGAGTGCAAGACCAGGTCCTCGTTTCGCTTTTAGCTCCTGCCGTAATAGTCACCTGTACCCTCTCACCTCGTAGCTTCGCACTAAGCAGCCCCGCGACTAATCTCTGTTCTCTAGTTCATCACACCAAAAGATTCGTGTCTTTCCCATTCACTTTGTATTTATTATTTATCGACTTCTTAGCTAATCTGATTAAGGCATGATGCTTCCATTTGGAATCGGTTTAGGTCTCGTTATTCTTTGTAAGCTCTAATCTGCTTATCAACCATCTAATCAATATTATGACAACGGTTCAACTTCTCAATGTTTTTAGACTCTTCCGCAAGCAACAAAATGTTCACTGCCCGATTCCACTCGAAATTGCCGAGCTGCTTAGGGTTAGCGTTTTTTTTTTCTTCAAAACTTCAAAACATAATAAAATGTAAAGTGACTTGTTACATTACACAATTGATTTATCATGGTGCACAAGGGATTCACTTGTATAGGCATAAAAGTTTTAAAATCAAAAGAAGTTAGATCTAAATCGAAATCATTTGCCGCGTTATACAAATCGCTGCTAGAAATTCGTTATTTTGTTGTTCATACGTTATCGTGAGGGGCACGTGTGGCGCAGTGGCCGGAGCTGCTCTGCGACACACACGTGGATCGATCATGGCGTTCGATGCTCACCAAGCCTTCCATTCCTCCAATATCAGCAAATTGACACCAGACTTGTCTGGGAGGATAGCAGCACTGGCTCGTGGGCCACCGCGAGTCATTGTGAAGGCCAGACATTCATTCAATCACCTCCAAACGATGCTTAATCAGTTTGAACTCATGGCGCATTCTTCAGGGATTGATCAACGCCGAGAGCTTTATTCTTTCTTCAGCTTTATGTTATTCGTGCCCTTCTCAAGATAAAGTTCAGTACTACAACAACGACTTCGTTGTATAAAATAAATATCAGTTAACGAAATGAAGAATCGGAGCGAGAAACGTTGTAGTAGGAAATGTTACTCTAATGCACTCATGGTTTCTACTTCGACCTCGCCTCGAACCATCCAATCCTCTTTTCTCACCAGGATCGAAAAATTAAAAACAGAATTTTGCAAAAAGGGTTGCTTCCGATTTACAAAGAGCGACAACAACCTTTGTGTTTAAAATCAGTAAGCAATCTATCCCATCCCAGGATTCAAGAGAGAATCAACTCGACCGGCACTCTACGGCATTCATTAAGGAACCGACGTCCTCAAGTATCTGCCGAATCCGCAAGCAGATCCGAAGAACTTCGTAAATAGCGAATGGGAGGTAGCAAGCCAAATGAAAGAGCAGTGCACTCTTCACGATATATGAAGTCGTGTCACATAAATGAATACAATGAAATGTTGGAGTACAAGGCAGGATTGCCTTTGCCATCACGGAACACACAACTATAATGATCTGACGAACAAAGAAGCTAGAGCCATTGAAGTAGATAAAGATAAAACTTCTAGAGTGATTCAAGAAGTGTGCCATTTTTAAAACATTGGCACTTTTTTGTCTTTTCAGGAGGTCAACTCATGGTCTTTCAATCCGTTCCATTTGAATGAGGTGTCAGAAGGCCATGCACTGAAATACGTCGGGTTCGAGCTCTTCAATAGATATGGATTCATGGATCGCTTCAAGGTATAGATTGTTGAGTTCACGTTTTGTAATCCTTTCAAATCGAAGGCTTTTGATGAATCTTCGCTTTATTCATTAGTCAGAAAAGTGAGTCTTTTTCTGCTACATCTAGGCCTAGACTCCTTCTTGGTCTTGAATTTAACGTGTCTTTTTGGTTTTTATATCACAGCTTATTTCCTCTACTTCGGTACCAAATGGTACCAGTGAATGGTTTTTCTTTTAAAATTTCCTACTTTATTACAACAATATGATTGAGTATTTCGTACTATGAGCCAGTTGCGGTCTGGTCTGCAAATGCAAACCACGAGTGTGAAAAGACCCACTGTTAAAGGAGTCAGTCTAAAAATGGTGAATTCAGAAGACATTCTCATATGTTCTCGATAGTTTAGTCAACTGAAATATATCACGTTGGGTTATGAAGCATACTATTTTAAGCTGTTTAGGCACATTCAATTAATTTTGTCTTCGAAGTAGGTCGAATTTTTGATGTAGGTGTTCCTCCAGCACCTAAATGGTAAAGGACAGGTAGCTTTGCGGTAATTGGATGCAATATGATTCAAATGATTTTTTGCTTACTAAGCAGTCTTTCGGTATTATCCATGTTCACCTCTCACCTTTAGGTTTAGTAAGAAACTTTGCACATTCTAGACACTGAGTTCCATTCCATTTTCTTATCATGACCCGAATCAACACCTAAATGACTCATTTTGAGCTAGCCGGGGTTTTCTGAAACATGGCGTCTCATGTCTATCTATCAACTCATTCGTAGTGTTTCAGATTCCGCTACCTGCTTTTGAAAATTTTCTTCATGCGTTGGAGCAAGGCTACAGTAAGCACAATAACCCTTACCATAACGTCGTTCACGCAGCTGATGTTACTCAGTCGTCACACTTCATGCTCAGCCAAACCGGGCTTGCGGTAAGCACCATGGAATGACAAGCATTGTTTGGACGATTGGATATATTTTGAGTGAATAAATGATAAAAATATGTACATAGACGAACATAGAAACATTAAGGCCTAAAAGTAGTTTTCGGTTGCAGAACAGCCTCGGAGACTTGGAATTGCTGGCGGTTTTGTTTGGAGCCCTAATACATGACTACGAGCACACCGGTCACACGAACAACTTCCATATTCAGTCGGGGTGTGTTTCTCACCTTTCACTAAAATCAAAACTGTTGAAAAACATCAGTTGGAAGGCTGTCGAAGTTATTGGAAGCAGATTAGACGCTTTACAACTGAGCGTGGTTTACCTATATATACATATACATATATATATATATACATACATATATAGAAAGAGTTTTAGACAGAGATTATATAGATATTTTAGAAAATAGCGTGCTACTAGGCCACCAGTGTGTTGTATACGGGGATAGTGAGACATATCCATAGAGATATTTGTGAAAAAATTATTCTAAGATAAGGTGCAATATCACGTTTTTTAGTGCGACATTCGCCATTCCAGTTCACCTTTAGACTTTTAAAATCTATCTAACAATTCAAAATCGTCATCATTCTGTATTTGGGCCGTATGTGCTCCTAGAGGAGCACTTTGTTGAATTTGAGCTTTTCCCTCTAGATGCTCTTTTTTGCGGATACAAAGTGGTCCACCCGTCTCCACAATGTATTCTTCAGCGTATGCTTTAAATAAGATCAAATAAGTTGTGCTTGAACTCATGCAATCTCTCTCTCCCCGTTAGGACAGATTACATAATTTCTGAGCGGCACAAACAATCATGGAGGCGGTTTTGGGCTTAGTGACGGACGGCATAGGGTATTGGATGGAAGGTCAATAACTGCCACAAATTTTTGAAGACCACTTTTTCTTAGGCACTTCTTAATAGTGCAACTTATTTCGTTCGATGTGAAGAGCACCTTAAAAGGAATCTTACTTAGGTTCGAAACATTATTTAGGGGTATATGTTCTGACCCCAGTGGCTTCTATTATTTTGCGGTATATGGTCTGATCCGAATGCTTTCTGCTTCGTAGCCATTGGCTATGGTTATTTTTATCCTACCGCTATCATCCGCTGTACACAACAAACGGGTGGTATATTAGTGGGGTAAGTATTTTCTAGAAAATTGGAGTTTATTCATGTGCTGGATATTCACTAATACTATAGATTTCATCGATATGCAGGGCTATTGTTACATATGATACGTCTGGGCTCTGAGTAGGGCGAACTTTCCGAAACAGCCATCGAACAACTACAACGATAACAATAAGAACGTCTATACCAACCTAGCGCCAGCTAAATGAGAACAGTTTTTAGGAACATATATGTAGATATGTCGATTATTTATGTAGAGGTTTATACAAAGTTGATTTTTTAAACATGGTCTGTTTTACAGAAAGTATCTCTCACCTTGAGACTTTTGGAATGGAAGTTTGGATATGCGTATACAGTTTCTGCAGAAATGCTAGTTTCTCAGCTTTCAAACCGTTGTTTTTTAAGCAGAGGAGTGGTTATGCTACTCCGAAGGCCGTCATGGATTTCAAATTCTCTTTTTGCAGATCTAATTTCGCGCTTTTGTATAACGATAGGAGTGTTCTCGAAAACCATCACGTCTCAGCGTGCTTCCGACTGATCAAAGAAGAAGACAAGAACATCTTCTCGCATCTTACCAGGGACGAATTTAGGTATGTGGTTTAAATTCATTACGCATCACATTTTCTTTTGATTTGGCTACTGCTCTTTCTGCCTTTTTTGACATTGTTTTCTCCTTCCGTTCGTTTTTATCTTCTTGCTTTTTTTACTCTCTTTGTTCTTACTTTTCTCTATCTTCGTTCCTTTCATCTGTACATTTTCTTTTCGACTTCTGCTCGTTCTCTTCCTTTCCACCGTTTACCTATATTTGTCGTACTTTCCATCTTTCTTCATTGTCTCTCACTTTCTTCGTCTTCCTTACATTCACTTTCTATCTCCCTATTTTTTCCCTTTCCTGCTTATTACACAGTCGCTTCTTTTCCATGCCACCCCAGTTTACTCTTTTTTTTCCCACTATTTTTCGTTCAGGAACAACCTTATGTTACATCATCTTCTATCGGCAGGTCGATTAATCTCTTGAAGAATACCATTTGTAAGGATTCAAACATCTTTCTGTCGCATAAAAACGAGCAACTGTCTGCGGTATCCAACGCCATAGTCCCTCTATCTCGGGTTTTTGTGGCACACTTGTTTAGTATTTGCCATGCTGATGAAAGATTACATGCTCTCAAATAGTCGCCACGACGACACACAAGATCGACTTTCTCTTCGGCTGATGGTTGCAAGAAAGTTTAAAGAACGGATGAAATTCTAGAACTTCAAATCATCTAACCATTCTCCCTAACTATTCCACGCTTATTTTTTCCCTCCCTTTCTCCATTTTCTTCTTATTTTTCACGCTTTTCAGCACATTTCACCATTTCCTTTTTTTATTCATTCTTAATATTCTAAACGCTTGGACTGATTTCTATCTGGCACAATTTTTCACTAGCTGTGCCGTCCTTCCTGTCCACACCATCCAACACTAAGCAGGGACACGAATTTTGAAGAATCGGGCCAACGGGAAACATTATCGCTGAAAATAATGAAAGGGATTTTTTTAGCAGACATGAATTGAGATCTTTACCTTAGGGAACTGCGTAGCATGGTGATCGACATCGTCTTAGCGACGGACATGTCCACTCACTTCGTTCAGATCAAGACAATGAAGAATATGCTGTCCCTTCCAGAAGGGTACGTTTAACTGCCTTTTGAAAAATAATTTTCTTTTCAAATTATTCACTTCATCGTAGGAGGAGCATTCCTTCCACTGTTTAGTCTGCAAAGGTTATGCATAGACGAAGTACGACGCATAGAATGCTCTCACAGTTCAGTAACTCATCTCTTTTACTGCATAATATTTGCATTTTTGCTTTGGCAGATTTCGACGGAACTAAACTGAAGAAGAACGATGAACTAAAGCAAATGATTGCGTGCTTTCTGTAGACTTAACGTTTGAGAGATTCATTTCTTATTTACCGAGGGTTCGAAGCTAAGAATTTCAACAAAACTGCTTGTAAGTTTCTCGAAATTACCTCAGCATAATCTAGTCAGCTAAAATGATTTAAATCCCTTCTACTCATTATAAAGAGCGCGTGTGGCGCAGTAGTGGGAGGTGCCCTGCGACACACACGTAGTATCAATCACTGCTGCCTTGGTCCACCAAGCTTCCCATCCCTCCGGAGTCGGCGAATTGGTATCAGACTTCTCTGGGAGGATAGCACCACTAGGTCGATGCATTGGTAGGCGACTGCGAGTTATCGTAGAGGCCAGATATGCATTCAATCACCTCCAAACGTTGCTTAGTAAAGTGGAATGCATGGCGCATCTCTCAGGGATTGATCAACGCCGGGAGCTTTATCCTTTGATTTTAATATCCTACCCGCTATATATCAACGACGACACCACATGCGCATTTCCAATACATATAAATTTTACGGTGGTTCGTTGTAAAAGTAAGCCATTGAGTGGGTGCAAAAGCCTTGTTTAATTTTCCAACTTTCAAACTTCGACATTTTGTTTTTAACTGCTAATAGATAAAAGAATAAATAATGGATAAAGCGTTTGGTGTTGATCAATTCCAGAAGAATCCATCATGAACTGGACTTCATAAAGCATCGTCGGGTTGAGCGAGTGCGTATCTGACTTATAGAATGGCTTACTTTCGTCTATCGATGTGCCAGTTCAGTTTTTCATCTTCCTAGACAGTTTTGGCACAGTTTTACATCCCCGGTAAAATACAAGGGTTATTAAGAACATAGCGCAGAGTCGCAGCAACGAATTCAGTGTGTATTACTGGGCATTTCAAAGCAGTGTGCTGCACACATCTTCAACACATCCTAAAACCCCTAAAAAATCCACAACGATTTTGTGCTCATATCAAACATCATTTAAAGGTTTATATGAAAACGAAAAAAGAAGCGTCAAAGAAATTGCTACCTTTGAAAGAAGCTATCGTGAAATGAAGAAGTTGCACACAGGTCTTCAATTTCTTCGGCCGATACTGGTTTACTAAGAAGTACAGAAAATAGTTGCACAATAGCAGCATTTAACAGCCGATGCCATAAGAACAAACAGCATTGGGCTGAGAAATAGGCCTTTATCCTGCTTAGTGAGCCTACTTCTCCTCTGCGTCTGCAGAATATCCTCACATTTTAGAAACACTTAGCATTATCTCTGTGAGAAAATGACACCACACATTGCTAGAAAAACGTTCGAATGGTTTTGGTTTCAACTATGTAAAACAAGTGTACATGTGCGTTTCAAAAAGAAGGTAACGGCCATGCAACAATTTTGTGACAAACAAATGCAAAACGTCCATAAGAACGCGTTTAAAATCCAGTCCTTTTCCTCGTTTTAATTTTTTTTCTATTAATTCATGACTTTTCAAAAGTGGCATCTTAATTGTAAGACCAAACAGCTATGGAACAATTTAGAATCGATAAGAACAAGGCGTTATGCTTGATCGTACATGCATGTGACATATCGCATCCTTCTAAACCGTGGCTGCTTCACCAACGATGGACGGAAGGCGTTCTCGAGGAGTTCTTCCGGCAAGGTACGTTCTTCTGGCACAAAACTAATCTTCACTTCACGGTAAACTAAAATTGAAAGTGAAGAGGAATTTCTTTCGTGTCATGTTTCCCGAGGATTTCTTCATTGTGAATAACCATATTCTACTTTTTACTTTTAGAAAAATCGTTTTCCTAGAACATATCTCTTTCGCTGACACCATCTTCTTTAGGGGATCTCGAGGCGTCGATGGGTTTGCCATATTCACCGCTTTGTGATCGACATACAGTGCTCGTGGCTGACAGTCAAATAGGTAACGACGCACAATTCTCTAAAAAAGTGTCTGAAATGATTTCCCTGCCATCCGTGAAGTACTGACAAACACCGTTTCGAAGTGACTCTCATACTTTTGCTAAATTCTCCTTGCTGAAGGAAGTGAGATTATTCTAAAAAGATACGATTTTCGGCGTTAAACTACTATGCAGAAAAGTGAACTGCAGTACACATCACTATACCAGAACACGGAACCCGTTGCTTACCTTTGCTTCATGCATTTGGCGATACAGTACACCTCCTTGAAGTAACTAAGATGAAAAGTGAACTACAGCGCGCATCTTCGAACCATGGACCTGTGTACGTCCGGTGACATTCTTGCTTTTAGGAACGTTTCGAAAACCAGTGGACGTTATACTTTAGACTATTTTTGTGTAATATTCAAAAATCCATTGCATTCTTTTTTCAGTCATTTCAAAGAACGCGTTCTTTTAGTTTAAAAATTTGCAATTCTTCCTGCTGAGATTTCGTGTGCTAATTTTGTGATCAAGAGCCCAGACGGAACATTTTCTATTTCCATTTCCATTCAGTGAATACAGAAGAATTTTGGGAATGGCTTTAGTCAAATACGGATTTTAGGTTTTATCGATTTTATCGTCGAGCCAACGATGGTAGTTTGTGGTGAGCTGCTGACGAAAATGGTTGAGCCACTCGTCTCTCTACCTCCGTCCGACACGCTATTCCCTCCAAATGGAGATCAGAGTGAGGCCACTAGTCCTGGTTTAGCGCACAGTCCGTTACCAGAGGCGTGAGTTTTTTATCAAAGCATTTTATTAAGTGGTAGAGTCGTTAGATATTGTTTTCGTTACTCGTTATTCTTTGTCGGAGGGCGGGGATAGCTCAGCGGTTAGTTTAGTGATGTCGTCGCTAAGGAAGCAAAGGCGCTAGTTCGATCTCCTCCCAAAGCTCTCCTCCAATCGAGGTGAGAGAGCATTAGCCTGGCTATCTCAAAAATTACAAGAAAAATTGGCCCATCGAGATTTTAGGACATTCATAAAGAAGACGGATTCCTTAGGAAACAGCAGAAACAACAAGCGAAATGTTCGAAGACCTTTGTGGAAGATAAGTGCAGGAAAAACGGATCGAATACAAAAAGTTATTTGATCCAAACAGTAGATACAATGGCAGGTCACGTAAATTCAGATAAAAAGGCTATTCTTAATGATAAGCAAAAGCTCAGGTATGGGCCAACCAGACGCTCCATCCCATTCAGATCTGCAAAATGTAATCAGAATTGCTTGAGAAAAACAATTTTTAAGCCGACCGTCAGTCAACCTCGGTGGCAGATTAATAGACATGTATTTAAATTGTTGAGCTACATGAGGTTGATAAATACACTTATTCGGCTAACGTCTCGACCTCTTCGGTTTCACCAGAGCCGATGATCCGAGTCGGTGGTCCACAGTTGTTCCTCTTCTCGATGTGGAGTCTTTGTTGTCGTAGCGAGTCGGATCTTCCTTTCTAAAAATTTTTTTCCTGTTCGCTGTGTGCTAGCTAACATAATACCGACTTATGTAGGGCGGATTATCCATTGAAAAGCAAACTATTATTAGCGGATAGTCATATCAACAACAACCGCCCTGTATAGAAGAACACTGCCGGGTGAGCAAGCCTCATTCGTGCGGTGTTCATTGAAGAAAATCCGTCTGGGGACGACAACGAAGACTCTACATCGAGGAGAGGGATAACTGTGGACCACCGACTCGGATCATCGGCTCTGATGAAGACGAAGAAGTCGAAACGTTAGCCGAATAAATGTATTCATCAACCTCGTTTTGGCTTAAAAATTTGAATACCTGAGGAAAGTCTCTCCAATGCAAAAAACCTATAATCATGAGCGAAAAGGACATGAGGATGTAGATGTCCTAGAATTCCAGAAGCAATCAACTCAACCAGCGCTTGAAGACTTTCTTGAGGAAAACAAAGTGCTCTTATAGTAATTCTACACAGCGACTTTTCGCTAACCTTCACAAGAAGCTGCTCTTTTTTTTGAGCAAGTTAATATTAGCAACTTCGTGCATGCTCGAGAAGAAAACGTTGTTAAAGTCCTCAAGTAGCAGCCGAAACCCAGTTCAAATCCAAAGGACTTTGTGGACGACAAATGCAGTGCAACGGATCGGCCGAAACGAATGCTGACTGCGCCATATGTGAAAACATTATATAAAGAAGCAAAAAATATCCTCTACTAAGGTGGAAAACTATTCTGGTGTCCTTGATGGATTTATAGGTTTCACCCGGTGATGTCGACACATATATCTTACAAAGATAGTGTATATCTGCAAGAAATGAAAAATAGCTCTTGACGTGATAATCATAGGCAGATCTTAAATGAAAGATCGAAACGAAAAACCCGCATAGTGTGGTGGTGAACGCGTTACTTCCCGGAAAGGAGAACAGCGCGTTCGTTTCCGCCAGCAGACACCTGCGGTCCGGAGCTTTGCTAATATCTCAGCATCATTGAAGATTTTAAATGTTTCGTTTTTTCCTCAGAGAAGTTAGGATTGACGACATATCGAATGTGTTATTAGCATTACGACTTTGGCAAAATATTTTTTATTCCTGACCTGCGCCTGTTTTAACCCTAAGTGCTTAACCTCGTCATTGTCGCAAAGATCTGGGATACTGCGGTGAAGTGAAATGGTCACTCCGCCAGAAGGGTTACCGAAGCGAGTCAAGAATAATTCTATGATGCGGAAGAGTAAAGAGTTGCCCGTGGCTATTTCACGAATAGCAATCCGAATAAAAGGTCTCGTAGGAAAAGTGTCAAGCAATTCACATTTTCTGAAGAAGCAGAAGCCATTGTGCGGCTGTGGCGTGTGATGGGGTTGAACGGAAATTTCGTTGGCATTCGCTTGTTGATGATTCTTCTTTCATGAAAGGTGGAGTTGAGTCTGACTTAGTTAAATGAGCATGTCTAGAATAAGTTCTCAACATTTTTTAGAGAAATCGTTCTAATGAGCACCATTGCCTCCTGCTCAACCTGGTGAAGAAATCCAAAGCAGCATATTTCTTTTTGTTCTAGTAGGACATCCGTGTCGCCATCAGCGTCTATTCGTCGTCTTCCGCTCAACTACTGCGGTAAACTTGATATTCCTACACCGTGGATGAAGTTCTTGCATGACAATAAGGCCAATTGGAAAGAACGTGCTGCTAAAGGTACGCTAATTTCTGAGAATTCTGATGATCGGTTGCCATTTATTCATTTATTTTTTCAGAAGAAGAAGAACGAAGGAGGGCCGAAGCCGAAAAAGAAGCACTCGATAATGGAGATGTTCAAAAAAATGGAGACCCATGAGAACTGAGTTCTGGCTGCCTACAGATTTCAACCAACTATCTCTTTTTGTGTTTCTATACTTTTTTGTACAGATTATCTTGTTTTACCCGAGATTGATTCCCATCCTAGTTCTTTCTCTGTAGTATTTATTGGAGAGTTTCATTGATGGAAAATCCTTAGCTTCTGCTTTCATTGAAGTTTCGGTCAGGGAACCAGTAAAAAACGTAAGCAAATCCGGGGATTTTTGCCATTAGACGAGCCTCCACAATCGTGTTGATCTGTCTCATTACGGGCACCCGATTTTATTCTCTTCCAGTGTATCTCTAAAGCATTACGACAATCCAAAAGATGCGGATCATTCGTTGCACATTCACGCTCATAGAGCAGATCCTTAGGCGAGTCCAGTTGTACAGTAGTAAGTTTTTGTAAAGAAGTTTATAAGAAGTTGCATAGTTATGTATTCAATGTTGTTCAGTTTTACATATCTATTATAAAGCATAAGTGTTCAATGAACCACCAAGAACGAGGAAGAAGAGATTTAAAGAGCTACTATGAAAGGATTTTAGATTCATAATTTCATCGATAGGGAGTAGCGAGAAGCTGTTAGACGCTAGAACAATTGGAGAGCAAAGGTTTCAGACCAGATGGACTTTTTGAAGAAATATTGCGAAATGTATGAAGTTAACAACGACGATGAAGGTCGTGCCATTACATTCGTATTGTACTATCACGTCTTCTGAGGCAACCACTCGACCTCTTCAACTGACGGAGTTAATTGTCTAGACAAATTAGTCTTTCATACCTTTTTAGATTGTTGATCTAACACGAGGAGTTAAGAGATTTATTCAGTTAATGCTTGGGTGTCTTAATCAGGGCCGATGATCCACAATTGCTCGTTTTTTCGATGTGGCGTCCTCTTTGTCGTATCCAATATTTACTATTGTTACCGAGGTTAAGTGATGATCAGTTTAAAAATTAAGTCCTTATTTCCTAAATTGGCCAACTACAAAATGACCAAGCTCTATGTTGATGGTTTACACATGATCCATAGAGCTACTGGACTCATCATATCCCTTATAAGAGGTCAATTTAAGCCTCTTTTCATCATCACCTACAGTGGACGTCTTCGTGATGTATGAATAAGCTGATAAAAACTGAAGCTGAAGTAGAAGAACAGTTCCATACACACCATCTTCGTGCGACTCCAATCAGGATAACCAATTTATTGCAAAGTGGACTGATTTGTTGTCGGTTTCAAGGTTGTTACTTTGACTTAGGGAAAAGATAAAATGCAGCGTTCTTTTAAGGTGTCGTACATTCTCAGCATACTTCTAACAAGTTATTGTGATTATTCTATGTATTTGTTTAGGTCGCTCAGCTAACAGGAAGTTGCTAATACAACCTTTATCCGGCTAACTTCTCAACACCTTCTTCTTAAGAGCCGATGATCCGAGTTGATGGTCCACGGTCGTTCGTTTTTTCAATGTTTGTCTTCGTAGTCGTATCAAGTCATACAAATTCATTCTGTAGCAGTTGGTAATAGAATAGCTTGCACATAGCGAAAGTGTACTCTACTAAATCGATTTATAGTCGAAACTAGTCTAGTAAATGATTATGTCGCTAGCTGATAACTGTCTACAAGTCATTTATCAATCAACAATCAGTCAACAACAACAATCAGTCCTATACAAAGAGATAGCGCTGAGTGTGGCCTCTAGGCCTCTAGGCACCTCTCGGAGGAAAGCCTTCGACTTGTTCGTCGACTTCGGTTGGTCGTAGTGAACTGTTGATAGCTGCCCACGTCATGAATGCATAAATCTTTGTCCTAATTCGAGAAAATCGTCAGCGCATTGGGCATTTGGAAGGCCTTAGTATCATGTAGCTTCATGGATTCATGACGTTTCGATCTGCTAGTTCCACTTCACGTTCAGTTTTGCACTTCTGGAACAAATGTGCGACTTTCATGAGTTGAAAGTATCACTTTATTCGTTGCAAACAAAGAACTAGTGAAAAGAAGCAACTATTAAAATAGCATAAATCGATAATAGATGTTTACCAAACAAGATTTTTATAATATCCATAGTGATAGAATTCACAACCATTTCCGTGCTAGCCTGACTACATCGCTCATGAAAATCTTTCAGCTGTGATGCCTTCTTTATCCAGAACTCAGCTTTCTTAATAGAATTTCCTTTACTTTATCATATCTACTCTTCATCGTGTTGAATGATTTCGGTAACGCTGCTTGAATGACTGAAAGAAACATGCTTGTCGTAATTCCAGTGTTTGATCAATTCCACTGAGTATGTTGTTTTCAGACAGCAGAAAACGGGCTGATAACGCGACTGTTGCTACTATCATCTGGCTTTTTTATTTTTTCGAAAAACATGGTTCTTCTTGGTTTTCTTTGACTGAAAATATAGAATCAAGTCCACTGGCTTGTTAATGAGGATGGGCGACAGTTATTCGGATAATTGGGTATAGTACTCATCAGAGTGATCTACGTTCTTTATTGAGGACAAAGCATGTCGCACAGAGGAAGATGGAACTGCTAGACGACATATCCAGCCTGTCCGAACTAGTATAGGTCAGATGGATGTGCCTGTCGAAGATATCCGAAGCTTAGGTGTGGATGATTTCCTCTTTCACCTTTCTAGAAATTGTGATTGTCCTGTATAGCTATTAGTCTCATATTCGTATTACAAGGTCAATCATTTAACGCTACATGAACTACATTCATCATCAGAAGAGAACAGTAGATAAAGAACAATACATTTCTGTTCACAGCAGGTATTAAGATTTCTGCCAGGTTTTCTACAATAATAGAAGCAATGTTCTTTGCAGTCCAGCTGCATGAGCAAAAGTAATCAATCAATACCAGATTTAATCATCGAGGGATAGCAAGTGATCATTTAATAGTGATTGAATAAAACAATTCTTTAGAGGCATTTCTCTATTAGGCACCTTGTAGAATTCTTGCCAAGGTATTGCCCACTTGTATCCTGGGCAATAATATGGTTCTCATGGCAATGTTAATGAACGTAGGGCGAATACGATCTCAACAACATAAAGAAAAAAGAGGCGACTGAATGAACGTTACCAGTTAGACATGGTTCAATGGTTCACAGAACGATTCAACCGCGGTCATTCTTTTCAGCCAGCGTTTTACTTGATTCATTAGACTCAATCCCTCAACAGAGGTGTTTTCAAGCTATGGGCTTTGAAATCGCTCTCTCTCTATTGCTCATTATGCGCCTGCATTCGTTCCATAATTGAAGGTAATGGAAGATGCTAAGCAGGGAACGAAAACTCATTACTTACAAAATTTGGATTCCGGTCTAGAAATATAATTTATTTACACTTCTATGAAACATTTTGGATCAAATGGGAAAAGGTCAAAAATTCCCGTTGAGGCACAACATAAATGGAAGTGGGGTTGTCGGCTCCATGTATTACGCAACCGAGGAAAAAATGAACATGACATGAGTATGAAAACGACGTAATATAAGAAGGCACAGAATGAATGATTTGGTTCTCATCAACATTACTGTTTTATTTAACAAAAAGTGAAGAGGAACTATGAAAACAGCTTTAAAACGCATAGACCAGCTTCCACCGGATGCCACACTTCATTTCTTTCGCTAAGTCATCACCAACTTTAACTAGCTTTCTAAAATTTTTGGCTCAAATTTTTACACTAATAAGAAAAAAAGAGAGTGAAGCAAGTCCAGACAGAAGTCTTGCCATGTTGCCAGTAAGTTGAAGTTTCTAGCAAGGCATGGAGAAATCTCTGAAATTTATTATCTCCAGCAAGCACTTCACCGTGCGAGGATATTCATCAAAGCTGAACAAACCATGACAACCCTAATTTATGTCGTTAACATCATAATCAAGAGAGCAGCGACGCAAATGGAGAACAACACGAAGAATACCCACAAAGCAGTAAGACCGTGCAATGGCTGAAAACAGATAAAACAGTTGAAAACACTGGCACTTTTCCGTTACTTTGATGGTATGAGCAAGCAATACAATTTACCTTCTGGTTGATAATCTTCGGTGGACTATTGATTATTTTTCCAGAATCGTCATAGCGATGTGCTGATCGATTTCGCATCTCCATTGATATTGTTTTGTTTGGAGCTTTATTTTTTAAATGCGACAGAATCTGTAGCATGTCCTAGTGTAGTGAAATAGTTTCTCGCTTTCCTGCGATATACTTGTTTAGTTGAGCGTTTAAATAGACCATTTTACGGGCAATTTATGAAAAATAGTGCGGGCCTTTTTCAGACAAAGTTTTCTTTTCCTGAAGTACCAAGATTGCCGTGCTAGTGTCTTTTGGATCGTACCCAAATCAGTCGCCGGCTTATGCGTACGGAAGGGGTATTTTTCACTTTACGAGCAGTTTTACTTCTCCGCTAGTGACTCAGTTAGGCTTCCGCATTAATTAAAAGAGTTAAACTCTCTGCGTTGATCAATCTCTGATAGATGTGCTATGCTTTCGACTTCATTGAGCATCATTTGGAGGTGATTGGATGCATATTTGGCTTTTACAATGACTCGCGGTGGCCATCTGAAGTATAGAGCCACTGCTGCTATCCTCTCAGACAAGTCTGGTACCAATTTACTAACGCCGGAGGGATGGAAAGCTTGGTGGGTCATGGGTGCGGAGATCGATTCCGCGTGTGCGTTACAGTGTGCCTCCGACCACTGCGGCACGCGGCTTCCGTATAGATGCATAAAATTCCTAATTCAACCTCGATGAGATGGGACCTATGGCTTACACTCAGTTATAACACAAAATTTTCCGCAGCAGAAAATCCTATGACTGCAATATTACCGCCATATAAGGAAGGTGGTCTTCTAAAGTAATACATCCCTTCGTTTGTTCGCTTACTTTTAACACAACAGTTACTAAGGATTGTAAATGTAATATCAGCGACAGTGGTGTCTTATCTTTTCGCCCTTATTTAATTCTGCTTTGTTACTAATACGAGAGCTAATAAATAACTTGTTCATATGGTTCCAACGCACATAAAGGACTACAGTATACCTCAAATAATACGATGCTAAGAATCGAGACGATAATGTAGAAAATCATCACCACGATGCTCCAGGATGAGCTCGACCACAACGACACGAACGAATTAGCAGCGATTAAACATGCTACTACTGAAAGTGAATGAGATTGAATTATTTAGCGTATATTAGTTCAATAGTCAAATGAATTTCCTCCGCTCAGTTAGCGCCTTCAACCACCTATTTATATGGCTTACGGAGATCCCAGTGTGCTCGTGTCGACGTGTTAGCTTACTTGCCTGAGAAAATGATTCCGGTGATTCCAAGCAATCTGTGGACCCAGTTGAAGAGTGGTCGTGCTCCAGTATCAGGCTGACATCTCATCAAAGCCAGCAGTGGCTGCAGGATCGCTATTAAAATTGCGATCGCACCAAGCTAAAGTACTGCCTTAAAGTGCTGTTCACTTCAATTCTATTTAAAGCATTGGTCACTAATGCTCACGATTGAATGAATACTTCCTGGACTGAAGTTAGCGCTGATTGATTTATAGATATTGGGACCACGCCATGTCCAATTCTTAGCGATGAAGATAATCAACGTCGAGACGACGATGAACGGCAAGGCAATCAGGTTCAGTGTGCGGTGTAGCTGGAAGTATAGAAACTTCTCGCTATAGCGACGGGAAAAAAGCTAAGGCACCACGGTTCTCATGGCATCGATCTACTAGAAATATCGTAATTAATTCAGTGATTGGCTTATTGATACACTTTGATTGGCAAAGGGTTAATTTCCGAGTTAATGGATGTAGAAATCCAAATTCTTCATAGAGAAATTTAGTACATAATCTTTAGACACTTGCTATGCATGGTTGGGACTCCTTTGCACAGTCATTTTTTAGCGATAGTCTTTCATTAGGCTAACGTATACTTAGACGAAAGAATCATAAGGCTAGAAAAATTTGAATCAGAAACCCATGCTTATGTAAAGTAGAGGCATGCCTTTTAATTAGACATTTTGCAACAACTCACATGAAACCACCACTTCAGACCGAACGGAGTCGATGAGGAGAAATTGTCGCGAAGATAGCGAGCTGAGAGCACGCCTGTCATCAAGAAAACAAACCAGGCCAAAATCATCAGGATACCTAAAGATCTGTTATAAGACTATGTTCTAACCTTCCGATAAGTAGCGATCGATCTTCTAACGAAATTTTATCTGGAATGGCTGTAAGAGGCGTCTTATAACTTTAACATGAAGCTTTCACGGGCTTTCACTTTTACATGGCGGTTATCGTCTATATTTCATGAAACTCAATATTTATTTTTCAAACCGACCGTCATCTAACCCTGGTAGTAATAGTGAATACAGACACCTAACCGAGTACCTACAATAATATCTATATCAACCTTGTTTTAGCTTAACGATCCAAGAAGGTTTTTAATGCTTGTTTTTACTCCTACTCAACGTATTTGACGTTTTATTTATATGCGACGACTTTCCAATGCCCCACAATGCCTATCAAGTCTCTCATCTCTCTGGAGTCCGTTGTACCAGACTTGTTTGTTATGACACGACTAGTCTCTAATTCACGTGGGAATGCTCTAGAGCGATGTTACCGTACTCCACGAAAAATCATTCCATTTCACCAGCATTCGTGGAAAAGAAAACAAAAACCCAAGGAGCAACTGAACCCAAACGCAATGAAAGTTCAAAGACTTTTGCAGATTGGTCACCGATCGCCAAATTGTTCATCATTTCCTTCTTCGTTTTCCTAAGACCACCAAGGCCTTCATAGAAGCAAAAGTAATAATCTTGGTGTGGATGTGAAAAACGCTAACTAGTAATTAAGTTTTGCAATTAATGAACAGCGTGAATCTCGTACCATGCACACGAACAAGCCAGAACTTCGTCTCAGGACTGGGCCATGACGCCACTGCGGTAGTTTCGGTCTCTAGTGTGCTTCCCATGGTATCATTGTCACTGCCTGAAATCGTTCATATCCTGGTGAAATGGCTAACTTTAAAAGTTTCAGGTGCTTTTTTCAGAATATCTTTTATAAATGTATGTTCTCTCTAAAATTCCAAAACTCCGATTTCGCTCCACATTTCTAATTCATAGGGCGTGTGTAGAACAGTGGTTAGCACTACACCTGCACCTGCCCTACAGATGGGATCGATCCCGCACTCATTAAGGCTTCTAACACTACGGAGTCAGCAAACTGGTACCAAGCTGTCCAGGAGGATGACAGCACTGACCTGATGCATTGCTATGCTACCCTGAGTCAGTATGTAGGCCAGGTATGCATTCTATCACCTTGAACGATACTTAATGAGGACGAATGCATGGCGTATCCCTCAAGGACTGATTATCGCAGAAAGATTCTCTTTATTCTCTTAATTTTATTTTGCATTATACACAGTTTTCAATTCAGTCCGGTTTTAATTCAGTCTATCTGAATCAAAATAGGCAAAGCAAACACATATGGCTCTTACGCCAATATAGAAATGGACGCAAAGCAACTGAAATTTCTCGAATTTTAAGCTTTACATTTGCCAAGAAACGCCTGCATAGTAATAGAGGATTCAAAAAATCCATAATGAAAAAATGAGAATCTTGAAGATGAAGGTCAGAGGCGTCTCGAGCCGTTAATTGTAGCGAACCACTCGGTTTACCGCCTCATGGAGACTGGAAGGTGTTCTTGGGTGTCGGGCTCCGATGAACAGCGAGGATATTCGTCCCTTCAAGCAGGACCTCCAAAGCTGGGTAGGAGCCCAGCGTTCCATCAGAAAACCAGCTAAGAGTAAACCAGTACTAGGATCCACCACCGCTCTGGTATCAAACTAGTTGCATGATCGCAAATCTCTCTCTGATCCACGAAGGCCGCGGCTGTCAATGGTGGTGACCACCTGAGACAGACTTTGGCTAGGCTGACCTTGGAACTCCAGTGAATCACATTAGCTAAGCCAGTTAAACCCTGAAAAGATGGAGATTATGCTGGGGCCTGAACAACCAGTGAGGGCGGGCCATCCAAGCATCTAAGCAGGTAAGGCGAATCGAAATGCAGTTTCGAGATATCTCAAAGGAACCGAGAAGTCAAACAGAAGCTAGCAGCCTAGTGTACACTAAGCAAAAGGTATCTCAGAAGGAATTGTAATAAAATCCACTATCCGCTTTTATTAGTTTCATTAAAACAATCTTGCCTCGCTTTGTGAGGTCACCTACAGAGTGACTGAAAAGTGATTGCTTCTGTTTTAAGATGCTTTCAGATTATTCATATATAGTTTCTTTTAATTTTTTGTGTATGTTTCTTAATTTATGAAAACTAAATCTGTTTCGGCTCTTCTGAGATCGACTGTTTACTACCATTCTGAGCAACGTAACGGTATAGTGGAGAATAACTTCGGACAGAATTGCAAGTCGCTTTCTTCTTAACGGTACGATGAGTGGCGAGAGGTACTCTCTCATGTTGCAAAATTAAATTGAACCAGTTTTCAGTACTTTCCAGTGCGATGAATGATTTGGATTTCAAGCAAGATGGCGGTTTAAACGCCTAATTCCCTGAGAAAGGGTTCGTTGCTCTCTGAATGAGTGTCCAGCTCGAACTCCTGGCCTAACACCCTGCGACTTTTTCCTTTTAGGTTGGTGAAAAGGGTTAATCAACTCTACCAAAGAAACGACTTTGAAAGTAGTCGAAGCGCAAATGCTCATAATGGGTGTTGATGAAATCAGTTTATGCGCTTCCAAGGTAGTTTGGAAAGCTAGTGGTGAATGATAGTATCTATATCGAATTTTCTATAAAACTCTGTCCATAAGATTTCTCCTCATGTTTAGTTATTGCAAAAAAAATTATGAAAGAAATATAGCTTATAAGAATTTTAAAGCAGAGAGTTACTTTCCAATCAACCCGTATAACACCTGCCTTCTCGGTGACGATGTTAAGCAACTGGAGCAACCGCCAATAAGGCATCCAATTGCCAATGACACATAAAAGAGTGGCCCAGATGCATCTCTTCGCACAAAAAATCAACAAGCAATATATTTACCTTCGAAGATTTTCCTGAAAAATCAATCTAATTACCTGATCATTCACTTTCGAGCTAAGTGCTTGACCATCCAATGAGATCCACTCTTGTCCATCGGTTTCCATTAAAACGCATCATGCGTCTTGTTCGGACAACCTGATTTTCGACACACATTGGCCAGCATAGTAGTGTCTCTAACGCTATATCTCTGACGTATTTTGGAGCTTTAGATTCCAACTGGTGGTAGTTTTTCAGGTGTTTTGCTCTATTTCTGTTCGAAGTGGATGTTGTATGACTTTTCATTGACGGGATCACATTCTGAACATTAGAAGGTAAGTTAGTTGTGCTGACATATTTAAACTCCTAAAAACATGATATGGGTCTTGTTGTGAAGAACGCAGTGGGAACTCATTTGACATTCTTCGCCGTCTGACTAATCTGTATAAGCGCCGAGAGGAGACCTAGGTCTATGATTGACGAAATCCTGAACATCATTGGAGATGCTCTTCGTTGCCTTTGAAGATTAAGTCGGTAATGCCGCTCTTCTCTGATTGGGATGCCTTTTCACACAGTCTTTGAAAAAGTTCGCAAGTTTAGACTTAAGTTGCTGATTGCCTGCGTCCTACATGCCTCCACGATGTCGTATCAGTCTCGAGGATTCATATATGGACAAACCATACTGCCTTTCAAGCTTTCGGATCTCTCGACACTGTGGTGAGATCAGTGAATTAGCTGGTTGCCTCTTCATTAGTGTTATTGACAACAGTGCCTTCCCAAAAAACGATGATAGGAATGGAGTGAACTCAATTTAAGACGGCTTCAGGGATTCGTTTCCTGAATTTTGAGGCTTCATTTCCTTTCTTCAATGTTATACAAATACTACCAATGCTGGTGGGTAATCTATCGCTTATGGGCCCGAAATGTCTAGTGTTTGTGGATAAATTCGTGTTGACGAAAAAACTAATGCAGTTCATTCCTCAACTATGGTATCTTCTGAGAAAGTGCTCTTCCAGGGTTCAAGGCAGTGTTTAATGTTCAATGATTTCACATCTCCGTCGGGCTAGTCTGATAACGTCGAACTTTGCTTATCCGTAGATGAAGTCATTCACAATAACGTTGGGAATCTTGTTGAATCAAAACAAGGGGAAAGATGCAGACAAAAATATGCACCAAGAACTGGTGAGACGTTTGCAATTAGTACTGATTAACAAAAGACATTCTGTTAAACTGAAAAACACTGTTCTTATGTTTTCTAGTGCTGGGCAAAAGCTAAGTGAGTTGGATGCTTCATTTGTCGTGCCTGCTCCATCTCCAACTACACCAGCGCTTCATACACCATGAAAAATACATTTGCCTACCAACACTCAAAATGGGCGCGTGTGGCGCAGTGGTCGGAGGCGCCCTGCAACACACACCTGGAAGAGATCCCCACGCCCATGGCTCACCAAGTCTTCCATTGTTCTGGGGTAGGCAAATTGGTACCAGACTGGGTTGTCTGGGAGGATAGCAGCACTAGCCTGATATATCGGTAGACCACCGCGAGCCATTGTAAAGGTCAGATATGCATTCAGTCACCTCCAAACGATGCTTAATGAAGTCGAATGCATAGCGCATCCCTCAGGGATTGATCGACGCCGAAAGCATTATTTATTATCCTTTTTCCAAAAGTCAATTAGAAAGCTCTTAGTTCAGATATACAAAACTTTGGGCAAATGTAATATCAACGTTTAGAGCACATTCGCAAAAATGTGTTGTTCAAAGATCTTTATCGTGATTGAGAAATTTTAGCCCCAAAAAAGTCACAACTTCTTGAATTCTTCTTTTAAAAACAAAAATTTAAAATATACGATTCTTTATTTATATAGAGAATAAAATGGTTGCCATTTTTAAAACGGACTTTCACTTAACCTCGACATGAATAATCGGCAACATTTTGTTCTATCCATGAGCTTAGAAATTGTAAGCTCAAAATAGAGTAAATCCCTCGCATTGTAGACTTTATGGAAAAATTTCCCTCTTGTATTCCAATTTTTATCCCGACAAATATTAACCCAGTAACGAATCCTTACCAAGCTTAGGCTCCGCATCTCTCCTTTGCACTTGTCCAACGTTTATTTTCCTTTCTGTTATGTATGGGTATCCAGCTGAACGAGGATCCAATGAATGAAGCCCAGGGCCTGAAATACTAGTTCGATTACAAACACACTAACAAAGGTGTTTTGTCAGAAATACAATCATTTATGAGAAAAATGTATCACTCCGGTAAACAACTGCAGGGACTCTTCCAAGATTTTATAGGTTTTTTAAACTTTTCTTGCAGATTTTATTACTCTATAATAGTGAAAGATTGTTTCCTTTTAGAATTGAACCTAAACCAACTTATTCAGTTATTTATTTTACAGTTAGCTTTATTTAGCTTTGTTTCTAACGTTATAAAAAGAACTTCGCTCTCCACTCAATCACCCACTAGGTGAAGGTATTTGACTGTCTCAAGATGCCATTGCTCTGGTCAATTAAGCCCAAATATTGCGTTACCTAAGCCATCATTCTCAGTCTTAGGGCAGCAAAACACAACAACATTTACGACATACGTTGAAGACATCAGAGCGCCTTAATCGCCCTCGAACTGTCTAGATATTCAAATAGTAATAGTGCGTTTGGATCTGTTCTACACAGACTCTCCAAACATGAACCAATCAATATCAAAGTGTCGAAATAGCTAAATAAGAGTGTAATTAGCACAGGGTAAAGATCCTGTTCAATACGCGCAAGGGACTGGCACAAACTTGCCTGAGCCAACCAAGCCCCTTACTCCGGAGCAAGGGGTGTCGGACTTTCCTGGAGAATTTCCTTCGATCCGCAAGACCTAAAAACGTCTTCGGAAAGCTACCCCCAGGACAGGCCTTGGAAGAGTGAGGACCAACTCGACAAGTATTCGATAACATTCAAAAAGAAGACAAAGCAGCAGCTGAACTCACAAGTGAAAATTCCGAGGCATTCGTGGATGAAAGATGCGAAGGAGAAAATAGAACTCAAAAAGTACTCGGCCTACAAAATACGTGTTAAGAGGGGTGATGTAAAAAAGCAGCTAAGTATTAGATTGGTCAGAAAATAATGTCGGATTTTAGACTGACAGAATTCTAGACGAGATCAGACCACCGCCTCTTTCGTGCAAGAATCCATTTCTTGCAGAAAGGAGAAAAAGTCACCAAATTTAAAACCGAAGCCCCAGAACCACCGTAAACTGGGACACATTCAGTCCATTAGTCGGCTGTTGGGAAGATGCCATTGTCGATAACACCGACGAAGAATACGATCGCCTCATTCAACGCCTTCACGTTATCGCTATGAAAGCTGAGAGTTCGAAAGTCACCAAGAGACGTCTATCTCCAGAAACTCTTGAGCTGATACGCCAGCGTGGAATCGAACGAGCTGCAGGCAACCGCTAACTAACGTCTGAAATTGCAAAACAATGCAGACACGCGAAAGATCTTAAAGAGAGAAGAGCAGCATAATGGTTGATGCTAGAGAGGCTGGGAAAAGAATTCACAAATCCCACGGATGTTTCACCAATTACAAGAGCAAGATGAAGATGAATAGCGACGCCCAGACGAAACAGTTACAGCGTCCAGAAAGGGAATGGAGAAAATCATTTACGAATACTACTCAGATCTCTCCGATAGCCACGTCCTCCTTTCGTCATATGAAATAAAGGCGAACGCATATGCTGTAACACCGATTCTCCTTTCCAGTCCGGAAAGGATAAGATCTGAACACCTGAAAAACCTTTCGCTAGGCCTCGTAAACACACTCGCTCAGCTGTTCACACGTTACTTGCCTGAATGCAAAGTTCCTACTCAATAGAAGACCAGCAAGACCGCGATAATGTTCAAAGAGGGTGGCCTGCACGTTATCGGCAATTATCGCCCAATCAGCTTACTGTTTGCCGTCTAAAAACTTTTCACTCGAATCATCCTAAACAGGGTTGGCAGGACACTAGAAGATCAGCTATATGAGCAAGCAAGGGTTTCGAAAAGGATTTAGTACGATGGACCACATCCACACAGTAACAGGGCTCATTGAAGTATCGCGAGAGTAGGAAATGACGCTCCGTCTCGCTTTCATCGATTTAGAGAAGGCCTTTGATTCAGTTGAGATAGAAACAGTCTTGGAAGCCCTTGGTAGTCAACGAGTCCCTACTCAGTACATAAAGAATCTTCGTTAGCTTCACAAAAATTTCACAACCAAGATGTCACTATTCTACAGCGACATTAATATTGACGTCAAAAAAGGAGTTAGGCAAGGCGATACTAACTCGCCAAAATTATTTACCACCACTCTCCAGAACGTTATGCGAACACTGAAATGGGATAATAAGAGAGTGAAAATCGGTTGTCGACAGTTACACCATTTTCGTTTTGCTGATGACATCGTCCTTATAACACCAAACATTAGCCAAGCGGAACGTATGCTTGACGACTTTGATAAAGGCTGTGGAAAGATTGTTCTTCAACTAAGTCTCACAAAAACGATGTTCATGAAGAACGGATTGGTTTCGAACGCCCCATTCACGCTCAACAAAATGATTATCTCCGAATGTTCTACTTATGTCTATCTATGTCGGAAAATCAATATGATAAACGACTTAGCTCCAGAGCTGAGCAGAAGGAAAGGAGCGGCTTGGGGAGCTTTCTAGACCATCGAGGATGTAGCGAAGAGAACAAAGAACACCGGACTCCATGCCCACTTTTTCGACTCAACGGTACTTCCTGCCCTAACGTATGCGTCAGAAAGCCGGTCGCTGTGTAAGCAGGATGAAAGGTCACTCAGCGTTATTGAACGCGCACTCGAAAGGACGATGCTAGGAGAATCTCATAGCACGCAAGTAAGGGAAGGGATCGGAAGCTCCGGTCTCCGTCAACGATCAGAAATCAAAGATGCCGCTCTTTAGACCAAACAGTCGAGGAGAAGGTGGGCCCGACACGTAGCGCGTATGAACGACAACCGATGGACATGAGCCATCAGTGACTGGAATCCTTGGAGTATAAAACATATTGCGGTAGGACCACCGAGCCGATGGTCAGAGTTTTTCACGAAAAACTTGGAAGAAAGAAATGATGCTCAAGGAGATTCTAGAGGGATCAGAGCCCACTGGGCTACTATTGCACGCGACAGGGAAAAATGGAAGATTCACTAGCGCCCGCTTGAGTCACTGACGGTCAACGAGACTACAGGTGATACAGATGATTTTCAAACTGGCATATCTGGGGTCATAAAAGGATAAAAAGGATGAAGCTCTTGGCGTTGATCAACCTCTGAGGGATGCGCCATGCGTTCGACTTCATTAAGTATCGTTGGAGGTGACTGAATGCATATCTGGCCTTTACAATAACTCGCGGTGGCCTACCGATGTATCGAGGCAGTGCTGCTATCTTCCCGGACAAGTCTGGTACCAGTTTGCCGGCCCCGGAAAAATGGAACGCTTGGTGAGCTCTGTGCGCAGGATCGATTCCACATGTGTGTCGCCGTGACGCCTGCAACCACTGCGCCACGTGCGCACTCTTAGGTCAAAATAAGCTTTAACTCCCACGACCGACTTCCTATTAACCTCGGCATTAATCAAGTAATTTTTCGTATTCTTGTTGAGCAAGCGTGAGGTGTTACTTTTATTCATTATGCAGGAATAAGATCACGTTTCGGCAGATTTCGCCTTTCTCAGAGCCTGGAAAGTTAAGTGACAGCAATCTATTCGGCCAAACACCTCCATAACCAAGCAGAGAAAACGCTGAACCAAGATTTCAATCACATTGAACATAGCTTTGCACACTCACCGCTTTCAATGAGGCCTTCACTGAGTATGTCGCGTGAAGAGCAACCGCACAGAATTCACATGGAAGCGTAATGTGTCCTTCCCATCAGAATAAGAGTCTTATATACTGCCAAATATCACGCGTGGTAATGAGGTATTTTTTCCTGCGGTTCATTTTCGGATTTCTGGAATTAATCCAGAACGCCCCGAGAGTTTCGCGCGCTTGTGTTCTTGATTCCTGCGCGAGGATCGTGACACATACTTCAAAGTCCTCCCCGTTATGTCTCTGGGTCCTATGCGTGCCTAGCGGGGTATTTGGTTTGTTTTCCGGCTAAGTTTTCTTTTATGCGGACACAGAGAGGTCTGCCCGTTTCGCCAATGTATTCGTCTCCGCACGCCTTACACGAGATCAGATGAACTATACCCGAGCTCATGCAATCACCGTCTTTACCATTGGGGCAAATTGTGCAAATTTTCGTTGCACATAGACGGACGGTCATACAGGCGGTTACGAACTAGCTGGCGCTTAAGATTACTCGGTGGTATTTCAACTACGCTTACCGAATTCTCTAAACCTGCCCTTCTTAAGCAGCGTTTTATAGCTGTACTTATATCCTTTGAGATGAAGAGTAAGATAAACGGGACCCTTCTATCGCTAGAGTTGTCGTTTGGAGGCCAACGATTTCCTCTACACCTATTCTGAGCTACAGTTTCGTAGCCATTAGAAACGGCTATTTGCCGTGCCAAGTTCCGGGATTCCTCTCTCTGCTCTCCTTCCGTGCACACGTTGGTTGCTGTTGGAAACATGTTTCCTACAAGCGCCCTTTTTTTGCGAGAGGGGTGAGAGGAGAGGTAATGAACCAAGATGTTTTTACTACTTGGCTTTCGGTACCACTTTGTAAAGTAGCCATTTTCTGATAGGTGAATTTGGACGTTCAAGAATGGAAGCCATTTATCTTTCGGCTTCTCTTGGGTGAACTTAATATACTCTGGCTGTGCACTTAACAACTCGAAACATTTGTTCATTTACTCGTGTGTTGAGCAAAGGACAAAACAAACTCTCCTCTCATCTCGCGTTTGCTCAACAAGGATACGAAAAATAAGCTTTGTTAATCGAAGTCGAAGACGTCCAGATCTTTGCTTTTTGGCGGGGTCTTAGTTTTGCCAATATCTCAGCTTCATTATGATTGAATTTCACACAATACCTTGCCATGAGAAATAATAGTTAAGAAATAATAGAAATAAAAATTAATAGATAGTCGTCACTGAATTTACCACAGCTTAACGAAAGCCCAGTAAGCTCCTTCAAGAGTCCTTGCGTTCTTGACTTACCTTTTGGATCGTCCGTTTCACCTCTCACTAAGAAGAGCTGGTATTCTTTATCGAGATTCGGAGCGAACTTGCTTTCCTGTCATAAATAAGAAGATTTCACGACCGAACTAATCAGTGATCAGAAACAGTAGCCATTGTGAAGAAACAAGTAAGGAAACGTTTTTAATAACTTCGAAAAGACGAAATTAAAACTTAGCCTTTATATACTCATTAAGACATCACCGCACTTTATGTACCTCACCTTGGAGCTCATCTGTCTAAAATGACAGTACATTCCATCCTCTCCTCTGTGAGCGTAAATGAGTTTCAGATTCTCATTTTCAGCTGTCTGTAAAAGAATGAATTACAGGATGCAGAATTCAGATTTATTCAACCAGCGTTCTTTTGCTGAACGTAATCCATCAAAGATCAACACGGCACTCACTCCGCGACAGTCGGAAAACGACACTCACCAAGTCTACAGCAGCAGTGGGGTCTTCATTGTTTTTATCAACGTTGTAACTGAAATAGGCACCTGCTTTCCCTGTATTCGGAAAAACGCACTGAGTGACCGGTTCATCTCCCTTTAGAAAAAAGTGTAAGTAAGCTTGGAGAAACTATAAATTCGATGAAATGTATGCAACCACTGACCATCTTATCATCGTTAGAAAATCCCACGGCCATGTAGTTAAATGACGGGAAGTCATTAGAACTGAAAAATACAGCATTAAAAAATAAAAAAACAAGGATAAAATAACAGCGATATATGATTATTTTAGCGGATTAGCTCAAGATTATTTTAGTTCAATCGTCCGCTCCACGAATTTCCTCAATGAGGGGCCGTCAAGGGGTTAGCAACGAGGCAACGTGTAGTGTTTTCACGTGACTGATAGGAGGCAAATCGCTAGCAAGCCTACATTGTGCCTTCGGTGACGTAGATACGTAGAAGATGGGTTCGCTGCCCCTGCTGCGCCAGTTTCACACATATCATGTGCTTGTGTTGGTATGTTCATGCATGAAAGCGTTAGTGTGTCCTCGTCTGTGCAGATTGTGTTCTATAAGTTATTTTCGCCGAAAGGCTACAATCGAGTAGATGGAAATAACAGGAAGCTCCTCACAAATAGCCTCCACATCTACTATGAAAGAGACTGGCGAACCGCCCGTCAGTGTATCAAGCACACACCTTAAGAGCTCAGAAAGCTAATCGTGGTTATCAAACGCTGGGTGAAGTACAGTAATTAGGCCCTCATTAACCTGACCCCGAAAGAGCCCCCAGTACAACAGCGTTAGGCAGGACGAGTGCAAAAAGGGTGCTAAAATCTAGAGAGCAATTCTAGGCTGCCTAAATCTCGAAGAACTAAGGTGACGATCTGCATGTACAATAGACGCTCAATTGCATCTTTGTTCTCGTCGAAGTCTATGACACAGGAAAACCATTGTTCCTCGCAACAGGCAACAGTAGATGAAGCAGCTGCGTCAGCGTTCTTATCATCACAAGTTTGGCCATGAACCTCGATTTATTCGAACAACTAACAACCGAAATCACATATCTACAGCTGTAGATATGTCGATCAATACAGTCTTGGTCGTCTAACGCACCGACATCAAGCTAAGACGAACATGAAGTTGAATCGTTCTATGTACACTAAGAAAGTTCTACAGAGAAGTCCATGCACTCTTTAAGTTTATCATTGAAGATTTTAGCGCTAAAATTGGGACCAGAAGAACGTCTGAAGAACGTCACATTGAAACCCACAGGTTAGAATGGAACGAGCAGGATGAGTGGCTGTCTGAGCTCATCATAACGAAGGAAACGACTAATGGAAATTGGTAATTCCAAAACCCCCACTCTCAACGCTGGAGCTGGAGTCTGTGAATTTCCCAACGGGGAGTGCCATAACGAAATAAACCACATCAAGTAAATCCAAGGTTTGCCTAACCGATGTCGCCGTATATCAAAATTCTACACGCGATCAGACCATGGCCTCTTTCGGGCAAGATTTAATTTTTTTCGTGTTGTAGAAAAATCTTCTAATTTCAAGAAAAGAAGTCCCAAAACCACCACAATCTGATATTCATTCAGTTCATTAGTCTTGTTTTGGGAAGATTTTTGATAACATCGATGGCGAGCACAATCGGTTCACTCAACATTGTCACGTTATATTTCGAAACCGATCTTCCCTAAACCTCGGTGTGACTAATCAATATGTATTCTTTCTTGATAAGCTTGCACGAGGTTGATAAATATATTTGTTTTCGGCTAACGTTTCGACGTCTTCGTCTTCCTCAGGGCCGGTGATCCAAGTCGATGGTCCATGCTTGTTGTTCGCCTCGGCGTTGCGTCTTCGCCTTCGTGTCGAGTCAGGTCTTCCTCAGTGAGCCATCTTCTCGAATGAGGCATCCTCACTCAGTGATGTCCTTTTATACACAAACTTTATATAAACTATATACTTATATACAAAAAATTTCAGAGTTCGACAGCCACCAAGAGACGTTTGTAACCAAGAACAATGGAGCTGATACGCTAGCGTGAAAACGCACCAGCTGAAGGCAACCACCAACTGAAGTCCGAACTTACAAAACAATGCAGACAGGCGATAGAAAACGGTATCAACGAGAGAAGAGCAGCAGTTATGGTTGAACCTGCAGAGATTAGAAAAGTATTCGCTAAGCCCATCGAAGCTTTGCCAATTACCAACCAAAATGAGCACTCCGACGCCCTGAAGGAACAGTTACAGCTTCCAGAAAGGCGGACGAGAAAATCACTCACGATTAGTACTCAGATCACTTCAGTAGCCACGTCCTCGTTTCTTCATATAAAATCTGTTTTCAATTCCGGCATACCACTTCGTCGGTGAAAAATCGAACAGCACCAGGTCTGGACAGGATAAGAACAGGACACCTGAAGAACCTTCCGGCAGTCCTCGTGAGCGCGCCGACTCGGCCCTGTACACGTTACCTGTCTGAGTGCAAAGTCGCTACTCAGTGAGAAACCAGCAACACCGTGCTATCGTTGAGGAACGGCGACCTCCACGATCTATCACCTGTAGTCCCGCCGATCATCGAGTGACTCGAGCGGACGCAAATAAATCTTCCATTTTTACCTGTAGCGTGCAAGAGTAGTCCAGTGGGTTCTGCTCGCTATAGGGACTCGTCAAGCATCATATCTTTCTTCTAGGCTCTTCATGAAGAACTTTGACCATCGCGTCGTTGGTCTTCCCGTAATACGTTTGACATCCCGAGGAATCCAGTCACTAACGGCTCTTGTCCATCGATTGTCATTCATACGCACTACGTGTCCGGCCCACCTTATCTTCGACAGTTTGGCGTACAGAAAGGCATGTCTGATTTTTGATCGTTGACGCAGATCGGAGCTTCAGATCCCATCCATTACTTGTGTGGAACGGGATACTCCTAGCATCGTCCTTTCGACTGCGCGGTCAATAACCCTGAGTGACCTTTCACCTTGCTTACACAGCGACCGGCTTTCTGACACATACATTAAGGCAAGAAGTACCGTTGAGTCGAAAAAGTGGGCATGGAGTTCGGTGTTCTTTGTTCTCTTCGCTACATCCTCGATGGTCTAGAAAGCTCCCCAAGCCGCTCCTTTCCTTCTGCTCAGCTCTGGAGCTAAGTCGTTTATCATATTGATTTTCCGACATAGATAGACATAACTAGAACATTCGGAGATAATCATTTTGTTGAGCGTGAATGGGGCGTTCGAAACCAATCCGTTCTTCATGAATATCGTTTTTGTGAGATTTAGTTGAAGACCAATCTTTCCACAGCCTTTATCAAAGTCGTCAAGCATACGTTCCGCTTGGCTAATGTTTGGTGTTATAAGGACGATGTCATCAGCAAAACGAAAATGGTGTAACTGTCGACAACCGATTTTACGTGGTTATTAAAGAGATCTGAGTAGCATTCGTAAATGATTTTCTCCATTGCCTTTCTGGACGCTGTAACTGTTTTGTTTCGCGTTGGAGTGTAGTCATCTTGGTCTTGTAATTGGCGAAGTTTCGGTGGGCTTTGCAAATACTGTTACCGGCCTCTGCAGCTTGGACCATTGTTGCTGCTCTTCTTCCTTTAAGATCTTCTTTTATCGCCTGTCTGGATTGTTTTGCCAGTTCGGACGTTATTCCGCAGTTGCTTGCAACTCGTGCGATTCCACGCTGGCGTATCGGCTCGAGTGTTTCTGGAGACAAACGTCTCTTGGTGACTTTCGAACTCTCAGCTTTCATCGCGTTAACGTGAAGATGTTGAATGTACTGATCGTATCCTGCGTCGATGTTATCGACAACGGCATCTTCCCAACAACTGGCTAATGAATTGAATAAGTCCCAGTTTATGGTGGTTCTGGGGCTTCGGTTTTTGAATTTAGCGGCTTTTTCTCATTTCCGCGAGAAATAGAATTTTGCACGAAGGAGACGGTGGTTGGATCCCGTGTAGAATTTACCTCCACGATATCGGCAACTATCACCCAATCTGATTACTGTCTGTCGTCTCTAAGCACCACTCAATTTAACCCAAAAAGGACTGATGGAACAGTGGACGAAGAACATCTGTGTCAGCAAGCAAGGCATCGAATAGGATTGAGTAGAGTTTAGCGCATAACCGCGATAACAAGGGTCATTAGAGTATCAGCGGAAAACAGGAGACCGTTCTGTCTCAGTTTCATCGACCTAAAGAAGGCATTCGACTAAGTTTAAATCGAGTTTACTCAGTTGAATAAGCGTCCATAGGAGCTGTGGACACCTAATAATGAAATAGAGATCATTCGTGAGCTGTATACAAATTTCGCAACCAGTATATCCCCATTCCAGCCGTCATAAAGAGATGGCTGTGACATCTTGCCAACATTAGTTACTGTCATCCTCCAGAATGTCATGCCTGCGTTGGAACGGCATGGGAGTGAAAATATATGGTCGGCATTTATACTTCTTCACTTTTCTGGCGATAGTTCTTATAGCACCAAGTACTACCCAAATAGAACGAATGGTTGCTAGGCTCAATAACACCTGCGGAGAGACTGTTTATCGACAAATCTTACCAAAACGATGTTCGTGAAAGATGGACAATTATAAAGTATAGAATCAATTCATTAACCATTTTCACTGAGATGCGATCCTATAGATGAATTTGTGCTTTATCTGTGAATTCTGCGAGCAGTTGAGCTCAGAAGTGCCGTATAGATGAAGCACGTCGATAGGAAGGTCACAGTTCTTATCCTTGTCTTTCCCAAAAAAAGCTGCCATTATTAAAAGTTGAGTCAGAAATGAACTTGAACCCTGTAGTAGCCCGGCATCACGAAGAATCTTGCCTTCCACAACATATTTTTCATTTTCTCTTCGAAATTCCGAGACAGCTCTCACTGTTTTCCGGAGCGGCCTTCATCAGTAGTCGCCGCCGTTGCTATCCAGTTGAATTTTCTTCCAAACTTTTCGACTTGCTTTCTTCTGAGATGGAGTGTATTCTCGGTGTTAGTCTGCATCTAACTGGCCTTTCGATAGAAAGGTCAAGGTCCTCACCTTAGATTAATCTTCTGAGTGCATTAAAGCACTGCTCATCAGAGTTCGATTCTTTTCAACATTTTCTAAGCCATAACGAGGTGCTGAACCCTTGACAGCGAAACATAAGACGAGAGCAGCTATTAAAATGGGGAAGTAAGAAATATGATACATGGGATTAACAAGGTTCCTGATGTGCCTTTCTTTAAGAATAGAATTTTGCTGAAGTCAAGGCCATGAATAACACTTTTGTCTCTGATTTGTGAAGTAGAGCTGCCATGGAAGAGTAACCTAGCACATTTGGCATACACCGCCGCAGGGCCTTGTTTTCTTCACTTATCTAGACTAAGTGAAGGTTATTTTGAGGAATAACAAAAATTTGTTGGGTTACCGAGTAACTTCTTATGAATGCAGATTATACATCTACGAAATATCGAATAAGTAATACAAGTATTCGAAAATATTCAAGTTGTTAAAATGGTAATTATCTTCTTCATTGTGGAAATAAGCTCAGATACCTGGCCATTTCCATTTCCACCCAACCGTCCTCGCTTGCGCTATAGGTGAACATCTGTGTGCAGTCATCTCGATCCTGAAGTGATAACGCTCATAGAGTGATAAAGACCTTTTAATCATCCGAAAAAAACACAATGCATGCATACGTATGCGTATTACATTTAAATTGCATTTAAAATTTATAAAATGATGGCGCACGGCATTCCAAAAATTTCTAGAACTTCTGTGACAGCACCGGATTTCAAGCGCTGCATAAGAAGGGTTCGCAGCTTCTGGAGAGTTCTCCTGAGAAAAAACGTGTGTTTTCGTCTTTCCTTCACAACGCTCGTTAGCTCCTTTGAATAGGCGGTATATGTTACCGCCCAAAGTTGTCGCTCTGCTACCAAATCAAAAGCACTTTAAAAAAAGATTTATTTTAAAAAATTTAAAGCAGTGTGTGACAAATGGAGAAGAAAAAAGTCTGCAAGTACGTTGCCATTTGGTACGCGACAGCCCACCAATCAAAGCTACTTAAGGCGTTCCTTCTCCACTCCACTTTCTCCAGCTGTAACTGATTATCTGAAAAATTCTCCTTCTTTCGTCGCAGCCAATAAGTTTTATTTGTTTCTTCTTCTCGACAAAAGCAATAGTTTCGCGATGGCATAAACACAACCGATCACACTTTCTCACAGTGTTCCAGAGGACAGGAGCCAGTTCCATTCACATTTCAACTAAAACATACGCATATGTTTAAATTATTGTGCTTACACGAAGGTGTGCTTAAAAAATAACGTTTTTCTAATTACTATGTGCCAGATAACATAATAACGGCTGCTGCAGGGTGAATTATTTATTGAAAAACAACTTTTTATCAACGAATAGTCATAACACCGACTACCATCCTGCATAAAAGGGCATCGCCGAAAGAATGTGCCCCATTCGAGCGATGCCCACTGAAGATCTGATTCAATGCGGAGACGAAGCCGCGATCTCGATAAGACGAACAACTGTAAACTACCGACTCGGATCGTTGCTCCTGATAAAGCCGAAGACGTCGAAACGTTAGCCAAATAAATCTACTTATCAACGCCCATAAGCTCAACAATTTAAAGACATGGCGATTATTTCACTACCGAATGACGGTCGATTCGAAAATTAAAATATGCGCATTTTACGCAAAACAATACAAGTTTAACAACAAAGATGATGAGGTATTTGCAAAACTCCAAACTGCAGGTGTCTGCAGTGGAGAACGAACGCGTTATTACCCTATTGGGGTCTAACGCGTTCACCACCACACCATGCGGGTCCTTCGTTTCGATTTCTATTGGCCTTTCTCAGAGGCGATTGCTGATAGCACCTATAGGTTAAAACACAGCGGAGAGGAAAGAGTAATAACGGGTTCGATCCAACCGCATACACCTGTTGCCCGTTCAGAGTTCTGCAAACACCTCAGCATCATTGTGTATTTCACATCACAGTCTGCTTTGAAGAAAGAAGAGGCAGTAAATAAAAATTGACTACAATGTGACTAGTACAAGTTTATCTATTTCACTTTTCCATTTCACAGCAAGATACTTCCAAGAAATACCTAGCATGATTCCTAAAAAAAAACAGTCATCGATTTACTAGAAGCTGATTGGCATGAACGCGTGAAGCGCAATGATTAGAGGTGTCCTGCAATGCACAAGGGGTCTACCGTACGCCCCTCAATCACCAAATCAGTACCAGACTTATCTAGGAGGATAGAAGCACTGGCTGGCACATCGGTAGGCCACCGGGGTCATTGTAAAGGCTAGATATGCATTCAATCGCCTTCAACGATGCTTAATGAAGTCGAATGCATGGTGCATTCCTCAGGGATTGATGAACGCCGAAAGCTTTATCTTTTACCCCTCATCGTCCGAAAATTTGGGACAAGGTAAAGCTCGTAATTTTTCATATTTTTGAAGAATGAAATCTTTGAAAAAGTTGAATTTTGAAAAAAATTTTCTCTACGCTAAAGGAGGATGGAAACTGCCCAGTGACTAGATGGCTAGGTTACTCGAATTTAGTCTCTGTATTTTCTTTTCGGAAGGGTCATTAGAAAAGTGCGTTCCGGTTGTATTATAAAGTAAAATCTGCTCTTAAAAATGGAGCTTGCTCTGAAGCCGACTCATTAAGACAACAAAAGGTTTCGAAATTAGCGATTTTTCATCCATAACGTGGTAGCTATCGAGTTCTCGCGCTATTGGCTCGTTCTAACAGAGGCTGTCGGCTACAAAAAAGGATAGAGTAAAAACTGTTCATGCTTAATTATCTCCATAGTGGAGATTTTTAAGGGTGATAAATCATTTGACATTTATTAGTGGAATGGAGGAGACAGGGAAAGAAAATGGAAATGGAGAAACTTCAAGAACTTCAATCTAGAAAACGCTGTCGTACCAGACATCCATTAGGAGCGAAGATACATCGCTTCGTTTTGTCACAACTGGACCGATCCAAGTGACCATGCACAAACTGAAACTATAAACGCAATTCTTTCAAAACACCCCCTTTCGTGCACTTTAAAAATTGTCCAAGACAGAATACTCTGCTTCTTGCTGGCCTACATTCAAATTCACTTTCGAACTGTCAGACTCTGCATAGTATAGTTTTTTTAGAACGACAAAAAAGTGACTTAAGTTGTCAAAAGTTTCCTAGTGAAAACACAATAGACTTGATTGAGCATACGAATAATGTTGATCTCTACTTCATCATTAGTGATTCACCGCTTAAGTCATTTATCAAGACAGAAGTGCATTCAAATTAAATGGGTGATCAAATCAGGTCCGGAGAACGGTATCAGACTTACCAGGAAAAACCCACTATTCAACAAAGGTCGGCGACTTCCTGTGATGAAGACTTGGGAACGTTTTAGTAGAACTATCGCAGGATAACATGCAGAATCAGCGCACTACCAGTAATCAACTTTTTTGATGAAGACGAGACCTCCTAGTGGTATCTGATCTCACATTCCGACCACTTCTGTGGGTACAAATTACAGAACAGAGTGAAAGAAATGCCGTGATCAGCACAAAAATGTTTGGCACTGGAAACACTTAGCGTGCTGTTTCTACTGCTGTTTAAGGGTTTCGCCGATTCTCTTTTCAACCTTGGGGATAGGCGAATTAAGGCATTTCCATATGAATTGGAGGAGAGCGCTGGGTCGTATAAATATGCCACTTAAAACATAGTAATCATGAACACTGCGACGCCAACCTTTAGTGTGTTTCCCTAGATATGACCTTGGCCGCAACTAATCATTGGTAATCGACATTTTGCGCTTATCAATATAGATCCGTTAAATACTTTTAACAAGAGTTCTTTCCTGGTGTAGTTCTTCTTACATTCGGCGCTGAATGTTATGTCGATAGACAGTTGTCGCTGCCGTATCGTTTGTGATCAATGAACAGCATCATCACCAAGGCCACAGTGACTTGCCCCCGACTCTGTGGCCAGTAAATATGTTTCTTCAGATATAAAACGAGTTACTTCGAAGACTATTCATTGTATGAAAATAACTGTTTCAAAGATAGAAGAGCTTATTCGTTTCCGATTTCCTACTCAGTAATTCAATAAATTTGAATTTTACATATGGCGCTCACCTGAAGAAGAACGAAGAGAACAAAGAATCGCAACCGCATCCTAGAATTTTAAAGGATTGTCGATGAATTATGCATAGAAGCGTTAGAAGGCGAGAGAATATTAAAAATATTGAATAGATACAGCAATTTATGAAAAAGGAGCACATGAGCACAACGAGACCATCTGTAGCACACCAAGGCTTTAGGTCTCTCAACTTAGTTTCTGGGTGAAAATGTCGAACTAGTTCTGAAGAAAGATGACACCGCTGTGGGATGAAGCGCAGTTACACACCGCAAATCTACAATATCGAATTCCTTTAATCTACAATAGTGCGGTAGGGATCATTCACCGATTATGCATCAATCCTCTCAAGAAATCAATGCGACGATCATTTTCTTTCTTTTACTTGGTACACATCGTCTTAAACATGTCTTCTGGGGATCTATATACGAAAAAAATACGCTTAATAAAAAAGAAACCGGTTGGAACTGAGGAATCGATAGAATATTGTAGTAGTAACGGAGCGCCAGAGGAAATGACGAACACTGAGATTGAAAACCAATGAAGCGGCACGGCGGCGTACACGTTAGAAATATCATTCAGATATACTAATTGGAGAAATGGAAGCGAACACTCCCAGTAGTCGGTTAGGATCGGTGGTTACGACTGAACAAACCGAGAATGAAATTAAGCCAAACTAAGCAACGAAGACTCCAGGAAACGACGGCTGGCATGCTGAAACGAAGGAAATCAAGAAGATAGTTAAAACAGGCATTACAAAACTAGGATGAGACTGGACGTGAGCAAGAAAGAGAATTAGTGAGGAAAATCGCTCCAAGAGAGGAAATTAATTTGGTCTAGCGAATGGTACAGTGGGATAAGAAAGGAGATACTAGTGGATGACTAAATGAATGAATGAATGAACAAATTAGGCGAACTAATACTACACAAGATAAACAGAGGTAAAGTTCCTAAAAATAAAATTAAAAAAGAAACTGTGATTAAAAATTAAGCAGCAAATAAAGCGAAGCAGTTGGTAGCGGAAATAAAGCAAGAAAAAGAGAGAAACAGGTTCTAAAAACACATTTTCTAGCGAGGAGAGAAAGCGATCAATTCAGGGTCGAACCTGATTCGTCCTATAAGTTAGAGAACCTTGACGACTTTGGGCACATTTCATTCCGTGTCATGAGTAAGATCGACAGAAGAGGGATCAAGGGCGACTTTTTTCCTTTGTCTAAGGAATACCATTTAAGTTAAAAAACTGCACCATAGAACGAAAAAGAAGCAAAATTTGTCTTCAGGCAGCATTTTTTCGTAGTGTATTCGGATTTCAAACACTTCATAGCTCTCAGCTGGTTTCTCGGACAGAAACCCTGGGCACTACCGTAGCTTTGGTAACTAAGTAGTGTAATAAAACGTGCTGTATACTGTACTTCTCTGAACACCTCCGATGCGGAATACAAGACCAAC